TATCAGGATTCTAGGTATTTTCCTCACTGAAAAATAAAAAGAGATGGTGAAAAATTATGTTTTGGAATTTTGGGTAGATTCTCTAGGTGAGAAAAATAGTTTGAAGGGGAGACAATACTACATTTTTCAGCTGGCCAGGTGTGGGGACACCCATGGGGCACACAGGCTTGCAAAAGTGGTACTGTGTAGGCAGAGTGGTTCTGAGAGAGTTAAGGCTGGAGTCAGCAGGCTGGTGATGGAATGCTGTGCACTGTGATGTTCCTGGGGGAACGCTTATTCCTCCTCGCTGACTTTCCCTAGGGAAGAGGAAACTTCTGCTCCTCTTTCCAAGAGGGAGCTGTATGGCAGTGAACACCGCTGCTTTCTTTCCTACTTGTATCCATTGGGATCACTTCATCAGGGGGGTGGGGCAACTTTGCTTTCAAAACAAGATACAGTTTCAACTGTGGTGTTCTTTCTCTGATCTTGATCACTAAGCAGGGCAGGGGGCTTTCTTCTGCTTCCCACCTCAAGATGGTGAGCATACCTGGATTAGGGCCTGTTTGAGCATGCTTTCTAAAGGCAGCCCTGAGTTTGTTTGACCTCTGTGGAAAGCAATATGGAGATACCTCAAGGCGATGCGAGTAGATCTACCATTTGGTCCAGCAGTTCCACTACTGGGCATCTACCCAAAAGAACAAAAGTCACTTTATGAAAAAGACACCTGCACTCGAATGTTTATAGCAGCACAATTCACAATTGCAAAGCTATGGAGGCAACCCAAGTGCCCATCAATTCATGAGTGGATTAATAAAATGTGGTATATGTATACCATGGAGTACTACTCAGCTTTGAGAGACAATGGTGATATAGCACCTCTTGTATATTCCTGGATACAGCTGGAACCCATTCTACTAAGTGAAGTATCTCAAGAATGGAGGGGCCAGCACCACATGTACTCACCAGCAAATTGATGTTAATGGATCAACACCTAAGTGGACATGTAGGAGTAATATTTATCGGGTGTTGGGAGGGTGGGGGGGGAGGAGGGGAAGGGGATATACAACCACAACGAGTAAGATGTGCAACGTTTGGGGGATGGACATGCTTGAAGCTCTTACTCGAGTGGGAAGGGGGGCATGGGCAATATAAGTAACCTTAACACTTGTACCCCCATAATACGCTAAAATAAAAAAAAAATAAAAAATAAAGGCAGCCCTGGAAACCTATCAATCTCTCCATTCCTCTGACTCCATTTGTGAGACAGGCTTTATTCTGGCTAGGTATATGAAGTCAGGTTTGCAGATCTAACTCTCCTCACAGGTAAGTCCCAAGGTGAACAATCACCAAGAAGTAGGGCTTAGTATCATTCTTAGTGTTTTTTGAGTAGGGATCCCTGTATTTTGTGGGCTATTAGGCACTTACTTGTCACAGTAATAAAGATGATATGCTAATGAAATACTCATTTGGTTTTTTATGTCTGTTTTCAGTTTGTTATGACTTGGAGAATATGGGTGATTGGCATTCTGTGGCCTTCAAGGGTTATGATGGTAAGTCTCCAGAAAAAACCCAGAACATTATGATACACGTGGTGTTTGTCCCCTCAGGAAGATGATGAGGAAAAGAGTTTGTGCCCAGTGGTCATGGGGAGAAGATCTTTAATGGAATGCAGGAAGCAAGAGCCTGGTGCTCTATCCAGATGTCTGGTGTCTTCATCTTCTGTAACTTAAAGCTGTTGACTTCCGTCCCACAGCTTGTCATATCCCCAGTGTCACAGAGTAACTTCAGAGCTTGAGGTGTAGAAAGTAGATATTTTCCAAACTCACTTCTTAAATCACAGGGTTATCCTAGCTTAGCTCTGTTGATAACTTCATGGTTTAAGACATTATCTTTTCCTCTTCCTCTTCCTCACTGCAAACAAAACTTGGTATATATATATCTAAGATTGATCTGGATTCATGTTTATTCCATTTCTTTTATGTTTCCAAATACTTTATTTTTTGCATACACTTCTATACTTGTTTTGTCTTTGCTTTACTTCCCATTTCTAGTCCCTTCTTTTATTAATCAACCCCAAGAGGAGTGACTTGCAATATGTGTATATTAGAGCAATAATTCTGAACTTGCCAAAAAGTATCTGGAATTAGATTTGTATATATCAGAATTTAAAATAAGGGATTCAGAGGTTCTGTAGGAATTATATCTACCTCATAGTGTTAATGTCACGATTAAATAAAATGAGACAAAGAAAAGAATCTAGTATCATTCCTGGCATAAAATATGCACTTACTACTATGATTAATACTGTCTATTGAGAGTAGTAAATATTAAAACCTGGAAAAAAACAGAATAGAAATCTCAAATTATCTCCATACTTATTTTCTAGCTTTAATTATACATATGACTGAATGGACTAAGACCACATTTTATCACAGGCATAGAATATTAGGGCTGGAAGGACCAGTGGAGATCATCAGACATAACTTCTTCATTTTATATACGTGCAAACTAAGATTGAGATTGTGTAATAATTGGTTCCCAAGATTTTCTAGCTCATTTCATTATTCACAGATGCAAAACATCTTGAAGAAATATGGATATTCATTCGTCCTTTTAGATTTTTGGAAGAATGTTTTCACTTATAATTTGCGTATCAGTTTCCATGCAGCCAAATCCTTTATCTTTAACAAAAAGCTATGAGGTAACTAAAAACAAAGAGTTTGGAGTTGAAAAATTGGCTTTGAGTATCATATGTCAGTAGAGTGCCTGGAACTATGGAACTGATTCTTAGAGTAAATTATTACTAATGGTTTTCCCATTGGGGGTTGCATGATTCTGATAAAGATGACTCAGGAGCCTCTAGTCACTAACTCATCCATGATTAAATGTTGCTCCTGAAAATGGTAGGTGACTTTTAGCTCTGACCAATTGAATACTTGGGAAAGGTGTATTTTGTTTAGGTTTTGGTTAAGCTGTTGACTTACATTCTATAGCCTATTATATGTGCTTTTTTTTTTTTTTTTTTTTTTTTTTTTTTTTTTTTTTTAGACAGAGTCTCTCTCTGTCTCCTGCGCTAGAATGCTGTGGTGTCACCATAGCTCACTGGAAGGTCAAAATCCTGGGCTCAAGCGATCCTCCTGCCTCAGCCTCCAGAATAGCTGGGACTATAGGCATGTGCCACCATGCTCAGCTAATTTTTTTCTACTCTCTCTTTTTTTTTTTTAAGTAGAGGAATCTCACTTTTGTTCAGGCTGGTCTTGAACTCCTGAGCTCAAGCAATCCTCCTGCCTTGGTCTTCTAGAGTGCTAGGATTACAGGTGTGAGCCACCATGCCCAGCCCTGTGCTATTTTCACAATGAATTTGATGGCTCCTTATCTCTTATTTCTTTCACTGGTATGCTTGTCCCATTATATCAGGGGTCATATTATTTTCTTATGTAATATCATCTTACTAAAACAGATTCTAAAAGAAAAACAAAAACACCCCACACTAGCTCAAAAGCTACATACTTCAGTAAACCAATGAGTAGCCATAATTTACCTAATACTTTGCATCATTCAAATGAAATCCCAGAAAACTGAATTCCATAAAAGACATTTTAATATACTTTTATTTATCTCTGAATGTCTTTTGAGTTGGTCTTCCAGTTATTTACTTAAAATCTTTGCTTACAGCAGGCAGTGCCAGATTTGAGTCTTGACTCAGTTACTTTCCAGCTGCATGATTTGGGGTAATCAGCTTCCTAAATGGTGCCTATCTCATGGGATTGTTGTGAGGGTTAATTGTGATAACATATGGAAAGCACTTAGCAGAGTGTCTGGTGTGTGGTGATTGCTCATCCCATGTCTGTGATTATTATCTGTCCATTTCATTTTTCCATGGGGGCAGGAAGGTGTATTGGGAAGAGCATGGGGTCTGGTGTGAGTTAGTTCTGGGGTCCTTTAGTTCTGAGTCAGCTACTTACTCTGTGTGGCATCTTGACAAATTTAACCCTTTGAGCCCTATTTCCTCATTTCTAAAATGGATATACTATAAACATATCCAGTTCACTGGGTTGTTGTAAGCAAAGTGACTATCATGGCCCTCTCCTACCAATCTATTATCAACAAGTTAACACTTACGAATTCTGTTCCAAGGACAAGGCAAAGTACAAGGTGTGACATGAAGTTTTAAAAGAAAATAAACGCGTGTTCTTCATCATGGGCAAGGAGAGCATCTAACAAAATCATGCCAACCAAGCACAATGACTAGCTGATGATACATGCAAATTAAAGTGGATCTCTAATCCATGCCCATTTATATTTTTCGAGTGTGGATGTGGAGAAATTTTCAATGAGAGCCTTTTTCCTGGTGTTTTTACAAGTCAGCAGCTCTCCAAAGCCCAACTAAAATACAGGCTGATTAGAGACCCTAGAAAACTGGAACAGTTACAAACTGCTCAGTGGCCAGTGCCACAGAAACTAGGATAAAACCAGCCTCTTTTTCCTAACCAAGGGCAGAGACCTCAGCCTCTCTGGGGTGGTAAAGCAGGAGGGCGAGATGCTGGTCTCAAGTTGCCTGCGCTCGGATGGCAGCGGCGCAAAGGGCCCCCTCCCAGCCCCCAGCCTCGCCATCCCCGTCATGGAGGATTTTCCTTGAGCGTCGTGACCGACCCGAGGCGTGGCGCCGGCCGGCCGGGCCGAGGAGTGGAGGCGGCCCGGGGAACTCCGGTCCTCACACGGTTAAACCTCTGCCAAGGAGACTGGAGGAGGGGGGTTCCCGCCCACGAGAGCGGAGATAACCCCGTGCCGGCGCCCCGGCCCGCGCCCGGCCCCCTCCCCCGCCCAGCAGGGGACGGGCCGCGGGCTGCACTGCCGCGGCACGCCCCCGCCGCGCAGCTCGCGGCCGCCGCCGCCCGCACGCCACGCGCCGCTGCGGCTCGCCGCACCGCCCTGCCCTGCGCGGGCCACGGCCGCCCGGCCGCCGCCGCCGCCGCCGCCGCGCTCCTCCCGCCGCGGGCGCGGGGCGCCTCCGCGTAACCGCCGGGGCCGGGCGCGGAAGCCGAGGCCAGCCCGGGCCGGGCGCCAGGGCGCGCGGGCCGCGGTCGTGCGCTGCGCTCCGGCTCCCGCTCCCGCGAGGACGGTCTCTGCCTCCTCCTCCCGCGACCTCCTCAGTCCTCAGCACCCTCCTCCCGCTCCTCAAAAGCACCCCCGAGTCCCCACCCCCTCACGCCCCACCCGCGGGAACGAGGCCTCGGGAATTCAGGGGAGTGGCTGTGGGGGCGCGTCGCGGCGCCCAGCTCGGCCAGCCCCTCTTCCAAGACATGGTCTGATCCCCATTGTAAAAGCTGCGCCCCGAAGAGGAGGAGAGAGTGGCGCTCCCGGCTTGGGGCTGCGGGGATCTCTTCGTGCTGAAGCTCTGGCATTATTTTAGGGTGGGGCGAGGAGGGCCCTGGATTTTGGGGAGTAGGGGTGGGCGGGGAGGAGGACCCGAGGGGGGAAAGGACTCTGTGGGGGAGTCGGTGAGAGACTATGGGGAAGGACCAGGAGCTGCTGGAAGCTGCTCGCACTGGAAATGTGGCTTTGGTGGAGAAACTCCTGTCTGGCAGGAAAGGAGGGATCCTGGGCGGTGGATCCGGCCCCCTGCCCCTGTCTAATCTGCTAAGGTAAGGTCGGGCACCAGCTCCGGGGATGGCACACCTCGTTATGCATTGTGATGGATATACGTCCTCCTCACGGTTATTGCACCTGGTGGCTGCCAGCGATTCATTCTTAAATTAGGTAGGAAAACAGACTGTGTGTATGGAGAGGAGGCATGAGCCTCCCAGTCAGACTGATGCCTTAGATTCTTTGAGTAATTTTAAAATAGCCTTCCATCAATGCGTCAGTAAGCTACTTTTCTGTGAGCTTGTGGTGCAGAACTTGTACATGTACTAGTGTTGTTTGAAGAAAATCGGCGTTCCACCCGCTTTCCATCAATGTTGATTATATATTTGCAGCTTCAAACCCAGCCTTTTTTTTTTTTTTGTCTATTTAAATGAAATTGGCAGAGAAGCTGTTGCGTGCATGCAATTACCCTGCAAAAGCCACAGCCTTTGGTTGCTGCTACCTTCTCTTGCAGAAAGCATTCGCTGTCCTGTGGGTTATGATCCCACAAAATGAAGAAAGTGAACCTTCTGATGAGGTGTCATCAGTACAGGATGTGTGTAAAACTTGATGAGGCAGGTGAGGCACCCCTAGCAGTACTTTCAGTTATCTGGACATAGCTGAGTGAAACTTGGTTATTATATCTCAGGATGAAGGACGCCAGGTCCAAATTGGGATAGTGTGTATGGATTATAGTAGAGGCCTTTAAATGTGAAGATGTTGCAGGTGAGACTAATATTGCTTGGAGACTCTCTCCAAGATGACATTTTAAAAAATGTCAAGGTCTTTATTCAGCAGGCAGTACCTTGGAAATAACAGGGTTGATTTGCATATTTGAGAAACTATTAACTTAAAAGTTGAATTGATGGACAAATGAAATCAACAGGGAGGAAGGAAGCCTGCAGAGTATTCACTAGATAAAATTCAAGGAAGGCTCTTTAGTTTCTAAAATCATGGCCATTCAATTTATCCTGGATATTTTTGGAGGCATCAGTCATCATTCATATCTTCATCTTAAAACATCTCTTAGACAACTCAACTGTACTTGTAAAAAATTTTAAAAGCCCAAGTGATTTTTTTGGTTTTTAAAAACTTTCCGTGCTATCTTTGACAAGTGCTTAATACAAACTTTTGTGTGATGACATTGTGTTCTTTATACAAGTTCTCATAGGTTGTAGTGGTCAGACAATGTAATTAATTACAGTACTGGCTAATGGGGAAAAATGAAAAGTTCTTGTTATACTGAAATAAATTTAGTTAGAAAACAGTTGATGAGATTTAAAAAAGCTTCATATGTTATGGATACTCATTGAGAGTGACATTTTATTGGAATGATAGTTCACTTCCGAACAATGAATATTTATGAGACATTTTTTCAGTAGGTCTTAGAGAAGATGACTCTTGTGTGTACTCCTTTGTAAATAATTTTCACTTTCAAACACAAATGGACAATGAGTGCATATTTCAGATTACAGCTCTAATAATTGCCCTTATTCAGGCAATTTATATGAAAGCAGTTTGTCTAGTTATAGGTTTTTTGTTTTTTTTTGGAGATAAGAGTCTTGCTCTGTTGCTCTGGGCTAGATTGTCATGGCATCAGTCTAGCTCACTGGAACCTCAAACTGCTGAGCTCAAGTGATCCTCCTGCCTCAGCCTCCTGAGTAGCTGGGACTACAGGCATGTGCCACCATGCCCGGATAATTTTTCTACTTTTAGTAGAGACAGGGTCTCACTCTTGCTCAGGCTGGTCTTGAACTCTTGAGCTTAATCAGTCCTCCCGCCTTGGCCCCCAAGAGTGCTAGGATTACAGGCATGAGCTGTTGTGCCTGGCCTAGTCACAGTTTAAAGTTACAAGTAAAATAAAAATATTTGCCAGTGGATCCATCAGTTACAAAAATGGCTAAAAACTTATATGCTGAAAGAGGTTTCTCAAAATAAACTACATTTTTTGAAAAACAGTAAAGAATTCTTTGAGAACAGTGAGAACTTCAGTTAATTTTATTGAGATAAATAATATTTTAAAACGACTATTTTGTGACAGAACTCAAAGGCAAACATCTTTTAAATACTCCTTTCCCAGTTATGTCATTTTTTTAAAAAAAGAATAGATGTCAAATTTTAGGAATAGAATACCAACTATTTAATATTAGTAAACACTAGATAAAGTATCAAAAGTGTGACCCACAACATACATCTTGAATAAGAGGTTTTGTTTTTTACTGGTTTTGTTGGAGGTAGCAGTAGTAGCTCTACAACAAAAATTCACATAGAAAACAATAAAACTAAAATAACATATGTTCATTAGAGTAGTTTGAACCAAGTTGTAAAAATCACAAAACCAATAACCTTTAAACTTGCATTTATCTCATGCTGAATAAACAGTGTCTTTGAAAATTGCATTCTTTGGGTTCTCCTTTGCATAAAATGAAATTCCTAAGAAGGCACATTTTATTTAGTTGTGACTTTATTGCACAAATGATTGTCTTCAGAAGTTTATTTACAGGAAAATGGAAAATGTGCCCCTTCCATCAAACATAATGATACTTTGAAACTTTTTAATATTTTGTAATGAATTATAGAATAGGTTTGGCACTTTTTTCCCACTTACTTTATTACTTATGTTGTATAATAAATGGTGTCAGACCCTGTGCTAAATGCTTGCGTGTATTAATTCCATCTCATTCACTTATATCAACCTTAAGAGTTCCATCCTTATTTCACAGATGATGGACTAAAGAGATACGAGGATTAAGAACTTGCCTAAGGTCACATAATTAGTGATTTGAAATTCTGTTATTCAGATTTTCTTTACCACATCTGAAGTCTTATTCATTGAATCTATTTTATTCACAAAAGTTTATGGTACATGGTTAATTTAGATAGTCCAATCTGAAGATTTTTTTGCTATAAATAATAACTTCATTAAAAAATCCTTACATTTTGGTATTTTTTTCTAATTTAAAAAATCTCATGACTGCCCTTTGAGGGTTTACTAGCCAAGAACCTTTCTGAAGATGGTTTTGATTACTTATTATCTACTAAGTGAGGAGTAGCTATGTGATGGGGAATTGGGTATGCTTGAGTGACACTGCAATTTTCAGCAAAAGAAAGAATGCCCTTGGATAAATATAAAAACCTCTCTAAGTCTCACTATCCTTTTCTATAGAATGGAAATAGTAATAGCACCTATCATATGGCATTGTTGTAAGGATTCAATGAGGTACAAAGTAATGAATGCAAGGCATTTAGCATATAGGTGTTCATCATTAGTGTTATTATTTCTCATTCAGCTCTAGTTGACTCTAGTTCTTAAGGACTTAATTACTAAAGATTTGCTTCATATTGTACTGGGAGTAAATTTCCTTAGTAAGTTTTCATTAGAATTATAGAATCTTCAAATAGAAAGGGGCCTTTCATTCAACTTCTTACCTAGTGCAGGAATTTCCTCTCTGTATCACCCTTTACCAGTTAGTTATTTCTGCCCTGTTCAATCCTTCAATTTTTTATTGAGCTAAAATCTACCTCCCTATAACATCCAGCAATCGGGACTAGATTGGCTATATAAGTCAATATAAAGTAGTCTAATTCATCTGCCAGGACAGTTCTTCAGGCATATGTATTTAGTTATATTATTTTCTTAAAATCTTTTTTTCATGTAAAAACTATCCATTAGCCTTTTGTGTGGCTATAGAGCATAAGTGTTAAGAACTTAAGTGTTCATGCTCTTCATACTCTCTTTTTCCTGCTTTGCATATTCTCAAATTTTGCAATGACCATCTTATTAATAAAATATAGTGACTAGTATAGAAATGAACAAAATTCACTAGATGTTGCTTGACCAAAGTAGAATATACTGGGGCTTGATATACTGTTGAATAAAAACTAAAACAATAACAGATTAAAAAACAACATTTATAGTATCATCTTCTTTTTGTAAGAAACATATGTGTGAACATTTATAGTGTGCATTAAGAAGTCTGAAATGATAAAACACCAAAATGAAGATAGTATTCATCTTTGAGAGATGGAGTTGTGGGTGGTCTTTATTTTCCTTTTCCTTATTTGCATTTTCCAGTGTTCTACAGTGAACAGATACTTAATTAAAATATTAATAGCTGCTATTGAAACACGATACAATGAAATTATTTTCTCCTTATGATTGATTTAAGACTTACCTACAGATCAGCATTTTCTGAGCCCTGTAATAGAGTTGGCTCACACCGAGCATACAGTCAATTAAAACTTCCAGATATTTTTTTCCAATGTAAAGCCATGATACCCCTACCTGGCATATGTAAAAGCATTGGCTGAACTTAAATTATTCCTATAACATTTCATCTTATTTATTTTAACCTGTATTTATAATCTGTCCAGGTCTTTATGACTCTTGAGTCCAGATTTCAGCATATCAACTTCTCTGCATTATCTGAAGATATAATAAGCATGTTTTCTGTAACTGGAATTCAACAACCAATGATACATCCCTAAAGAACCTCTGTTCAGCTTAGAATAAATTTAAAAGTGGCAATCCTATTTCTATTAACATTGAAGCCACATGAAAGAACTATCAGTCAGTCAGCTACTTCTCTCTACTATACCTGTGAGAACATTGTGAGGTATTTTATCCATTGCCTTTCTAAATTCATGCTTTGTTTATGTTTATGGCATCCCTTTGATCTGTCTGTCCCTTTAGTAGTAAGTCTATAAATTCCACCCAACTCGGGCTGCTTTCTTGCAGCTTGTTTCTGGTCATGAGCCATTGGTAATTTCTAGTGTTGATGAAAATTCTTTCTATACTGTCGCATCTCATTCTTCCAGGTCTGCATACTTACACTCATTTAAAGCAGCTTAGTGTCCCTTATGATCTCTGTCTGTTTGCAGCTTCAATAATCTCTTGAAATTATTTGTTTATCCTTTCTGGTTTGAAAATGGTTTTCAGTAGGGACAATAGAAACAAAAATATTATAATAGGAAGAATCAGGTCCTTGGCATTGTTAGATATAATAGAACATTCTCATGT